TAATACATATATAAAGACCACCTATGATTGGTACAAGCCATATAAAAATAACTGAAAATAGTTTTAAAATACCCTTTTTACCATATTATTTGTATAGGTGTTAAATACTTTTGCACATAGTCAAATTCAAAAATTGGCAATAAAAGTACATAAAAACAATGTTTCTCAATTTTCCTTTGTTTAGTCAGACAGTGTTCATTAAAATGAAGTAAGTATCAATCAAATTGAACAATTTTTTGTGAAATTTATAAAAATCCGATGTGTTAAATACTTTTGCTACCCACTAATATATATATATATATATATATATATATATATATATATATATATAATGATTATGAATTATAGTATAAAAATACTTTAGCCATATTTGTTGTAATAGTTTATATTTGGTATTAAGATATATTCAAGATTGCATCTATGAATAATAACCATATATTAAATTGTTACTCCGCGTGTTGATATAAGCAATATCAGAGTGTCAATATTTTGTTTTCATGATTATATAGTGAAAGTTTCTTATATTAAAAGGCTTTATAGCTAAAAGCTTTATTAAAATTCTTGGCATTTTTGTCTGTAATATAATTTTAAATTCATTGAGTTATCAAATTATTACAAAATTCTGTGGTAATATAAATTGATTTAAATATTTGTCAGTAAAAAGTAAGTTATAAAATAATTTTTGCTGAAGTTATCTTTTTATAGTGTCTGTTGAAATTGTTCAATTCAACTACAGATTTAATACTTACTGAAAATATATCTTAGCATTTTCTAACACATTCCAAGTACAAAAATATTTTCATTTTCTCTGCTCCCATTCTCAGTTTCACTTATTTCCATCTTTCTCTTTGCTATCATCATTCATGATCTAAATTCATGTTCCAAAATTGCAGTGAGTACCAATGAGAATGTCTAACTTCTGACAGCATCTTACATGAATCTATCTAAATTCAAATGAGTTGCACCTGAAATCAGCTCCCATGATTTGCATTTAAAATTTTATGAAATCACAAAAAGCTATTCACATCCATGTCCTGCTTTTAATTCAGTATTATTGATGTGCAAACTTGGTTTCTAGATTGGCTGAAAATAGCAAATATTTTCACCTGCACAATTTTCTTTTATTACTGCTTTGCAGTTACATATGCATTATAAACTCCAAAGTTTCTTATCATTATTTTGCTCTTTTACATTTTTCTTTCAACTGCATTATGGTGGTATTTTCTCTCTCTCTCTCTCGCTCTCTCTTTCTCTCTCTCACACACACACATTCATAATTTCTAGACATGATTATTTTGTTTAGACTCTTATATTTGCTTTCTGCATGTCATGTACTTGGTAAGTGTACAGTTACATAAAAATTAGAGTAATTGACTAGTTATCAATTGCTATCCCTTATACTAATTTATGTTGATGCTGTTTTTTTTTTCTTATAACAAATTTCATATACTTTTTAACAAATTCATTTAGTGTGTTGTCATACATTTTTTAATTTCATAATAGTTTTAAATATTTATTTTCATTATTTTTCATTTATAAAAACTTTTCTGCTCTTTTCATTTCTTTACTCTTCTATTCATTTCTTGATATTTTCATCTGAATGAATATTGAATTTGGAGAAGACCCACATTTCTTAGATTTAAAAAAAAAATTAGTGTCATTGAAAGAGATGTTTGATAACATTTTCACTAACTGGACTGAAACAATTATTTATTAAGCTTTTGTTTTCATATAAATGAAAAAGTCACTAAAACTTACAAAAATTTAAAATATTTGCAAGTCAGACTTTCTAATAGAGAAACTTTTTTCTAAATTTACATTCAGTAATAAATAAGTATTTAAGTAAATTTTAAACACTTGTTCATATACAAGTTTAATTTTAAATTCATATTCATACCTTTGAGATTTTTTTCTGTTTATGGTGAATATTTTCTAAGATATTATTACTGAAACATTATTTACACATTTGATTTTGTCTATCAGTTTCTTCCACAATGTATTATCAAAAAAAGAGTTAAAAAATATTATCTTTTGAACATCAAAAACTAGTATTGATGTGTCATTTTGTTATATTCTCTTTTCAATATGCAGGCTAAAATAGTTACTTTATTTGAAATGTTAAATTTCAGCTTTCAGAGTACATAAAAATTGATTAGTAAGAAAAAGTAGCTATTTCTTTTAACAAGTTGATATGAAATTATAGTTTTTGAAAACTAAGGATATGTAACTATCATAAAAAATTCATTTTCATTTATGAAGAATTCTGCTGAAAGGCTGTTTTTTTGTTCATTATAGCAAATGTTCTTTAAAGATTGTTTAATACTGTCTTTGTTTTTGAGAGGTATTAGTATCTTTAAAGCATTTGATATATATATATATATAATATATATATATATATATATATATATATAACTTGTGAATTTTAATTTTTATTATAGCTTTATATAATGAAGTGTACAAATGATAAATTCTGTTTTCTCCAAAAGTTGATTTCTACAAAAACCTGATTTTTTTTTTTTGTAAACTGTTTACAGCTGATTTGAATTACAAATCTGTACTAGTCTTATTAAAAATAACAAAATATGTATTTATTAAATATAGATTTTAAATTATATTATGCTTTTTTTATTCATGCATTTTGTATGATAAATAAAATATTTTTTAATATACCTAGGTTAATTAAAGATTACATAAGTGGTGGAATTTCATGTTGATATTTTGTAAAAGAGACCTCTGTTATAAATTATGTTTAAAGAAAATTGGCACACATTTTTTTAATCTTCAAACTTTAATGTGAGAAAATGATTTAAGGTTAAAATTATTTTCTGAGTAAAATTTGTTTCTCTCTGTATAGTATAAAAATTGGTTTTGTGTGGTAACATTAGTTGTGTTGTTTATGAATGCTTACAATTAAGCAAGATCCAAATTGATGTATCTACAGTTTGCTTATTTGAGCCATGAATAATTTTGCCAATATATTACATACAGATCTCATAAATTTAATTTCCATGAAATAATCTCCTTAAAGCAAAATCTACATTTATTTTACATTTTAAAATATGCCAATAATTTTGAAGTGATCAAAGTAATTTGATTTGCTAAAAATCTAGCAATTTGTCATTAAACTATACTATTTTAATAGATTTGAACTTCTCAAACTTTAAGACACTTTACTTACTTTCTACTGTTAACATTAATACTGCAATAGATATAACATTTCTAAATATAAACGTCACATTTTTGTCCCTTTTTAATGAGAATTCTAATTAATTGAAGAACTTAAAGAAATACTGTGTATTTAAAATTATTCAGAATACCTCTCAGATTAGCTTTAGACTATATTTTGAATCTGGTCAATTAACTTAGTCACATCATTATAAAAAAATGCATAAATTATCATAGATTTTCATTTTAACATTTTTGTTATAAAAATTAAAAGTTTTTAATTTAGATGTTTCATTGTGAGATATATTAAGTGAAAAAAGCATTACAAATATATTTTAATTTTAAGTTTTATATAAAGTAAATCTGAATCTTTTTTTTTTATAGAGATATGTATATTTTATAGACATTAACTAGATCTGTTATAAGGTTCCTACAGTTTATTCCCTACAAATTAGTATTTATTATAAAAAATGTGTTTACAAAATTATAAGAATCTTTTCTCAAACAAAATAAATGTAGTAGAAGTTTTTACCTGTCTATTTATAAAGAATGAAATAAAGATGACACTTAAGTCTTAAATTTCAAGTTTTATATAATTACTATAACATGTGAAGTTTTGACTGGATTAGTATAACAGTAGATTTCTTTCTATTTATTCAAATTCTAAAAGAATCTGTTGGTTGGTTGGTTTTTGTTTAGCAGCATATCAACCTAAAAAAAATGTTTGAAATATATATAATCCAATTTCACTTTATAAAAGATTTAATAAAGCATATGTTTTTTTAATTTACAAATAATGGAAGGTAAAATGCAATTTAAACTATCAAATAATTGCTATGTGATACAGTGATAATAAATTCTCAATTAGAATAATTGGTAGTTCTGTGAGCATTACATTTTTTATTTCTGTGAAATTTTTCATTTGGTTTCAAGAGATTCTTCTATTTGCTTTGCTTAACAACTTTAATTGCTTGCTTAGTATGCATGGTGCTTGCTTTTCTCTCTGTGGCTAATGGTTCACCGTATATGATCTGCAGTAATTTCCAACTATTTCTTATTTGCTCTCAAATGCCTATTTGACTAGATTCACTGCATCAGGTTTGATGAATATGACAGATATTTTTATGATTATGTCTCATTTATAAATTGCCTTCATTTAATAAAGAGGAGAGTGTGACTATTGAAAAACCAATCATGCGAGAGGTTTTTTGTATTCAGCAAGTCACAGAAAAATTATATTTTGACATTAAATAAGTGTATTATTTTAAACTTTTTAATAATTTTTAAATCTTTAAAAGAATTATTTGATTCTCAAATATGTGCACACACTGTTTATAAGTATCTTCATCTGTGTGTATTATGAGTAGTTTATTTTCAATTCACTTATATAAAAAGGTTTTAATTGAGCCTTTTTTTTTTTTTTTTTTAACAAAGTCTATATAAGTTTAAAAATTGTATTTTTATTCTCAAGAACTAATATATATTAAGGTGAATGATTTTTGTACTGCTCAATGTATATTTACCTAATATGAATCTTGCCTATCATTTAAAATATAAACTAAAATTATATAATGTTTAAAATATTGTTTCTTTTGTGTAATATTTTTAGACTTTCAAAAATTGTTAAAATAAACCTGAAGATTTTTTTATTTTTAACTTATATGTAACAAATTTTCTTCCTTTTCTTTCTTTTTTTAATAGATTTAAATGAAACAAGTAGTTCATTGAAATGTATAATATTTTTCTTGTCTGTTCCTTTCATTTCACTGTTCACAATTCAACCAAAACTTAATCTTATTTGATTTTGGGTTTTTTTCTCTTTATCTATCTCATAGGTATCTGGCTCTTCCAATGTTTTGGCTGTTTCTCCCCAAGACCGAAATGTTCTTTCTGTTACACCTGATCGCATTCATCTCAGTTGTTCTAACCCAAATTTGATTACGTATGAACAAGAAAAGAGCCGGCCTCACAGCATATCAGAATTTTCTACACTCACAAATCACGAACAACGAATTAAGGAAATTAAATTAAGAGAAATGTTTCTCAATCGTGCTAATACTGGTATATATACTTACTTTTTTGTTTTTCTTTTCTTTTTTAAATATAATGCACAAAATAAATAATAATAAATTCACAGAAAATAAAACATGTATCGTTTTAATAACTGCTTTTGATATTTAAAAGTTTTTTTCATTGCCTAAAGGCAAATCATACCTAATTAAAATCCCTGCAAGGTGAAAGCTTGATTTTGACAAAAAGAAGTCCTGTTTACTTTTGTAACTTCATTATTTATTGTTCTGATTGAATGACATATGTGAATGTCTGTTTAATTTTTTTTATTGTTCTTTTAACATTTGTAGTCATAAAATGAATAATCCATTTGGTTTGAAATGGTACCATGTTTAATAAATATCCCTAAATAATATATTGATGTAATTTTACTATTTTGTATAAACATCAAATTGTTCATATCATTTTATTATTTATTAGGTGCATATTAGTGTAGCTGTCATAACTTGAAGAGTAAATGCACAGAAAATGCAGCATATACATTGCTTTAAGAGTAAGATAATGAAAAGAATCATCTTTTTGAATAGATAAAATTTATTAAAGTAATTTGTTTTAATTATTATTTACTGTAGTATTTTCTGTGGTAGCAGTAGTAGCTGCTATCAGCATCCTTGTCCCACCCCTGCCACTGTTTATTAGGTCATGACTTAGTTGAAGATTGTCTTCCTAGTCATTGATAGCAGTTGTAATATTTTACCCAGCCAAAATCATTGTTACTGATTCTTACTTGGATTATTGGAAGTTCAAAAGTTCTTGCTGGTGGATTTGAACTGGAGATTGAGACAAAATTGTCCTACATTCTGTTCTGATTTATTACTTGATAAAGTCTATCAGCTGCAGTTGAAATGTCCTCCAGTAGGATTCCAATCAAGTAATGGTTATACCCAAAAGAAAAAGGTCCTTAGAATGTTCTTTTAAATGCAACAAAACTGCTGTAATCAACATTAAATTTCCAACAGTTTTATCTACATTTGTGGTTGTAAACTCAATGAAAAAGTAAGTCTCTCAGAACTTTGAGGCAACAAAAATCACAGCAGTTTTATGAATTATGTTTTGTCAATATTTTCTCAGCAGCTATTATGTACATGTGTTTGTTACAAGCTTCCTTGTAATACACAGCAAGAGCATTTATTCAGAAACTGATCACATAACTATTGTCAGTGTTTTTTTTTTTTGTTTTTTGTTCTATGAACCCTAAAAAACTACTTAACACATTCTCCTCACCTGCTTATATAAGTTTTCATAGATTTCACATGGATGTCAACAAAATGATGTGAAATTACTCATAAATTTTGCTGCCTCCGAATATCTTAATTTATGAAAAACAGATGCCTATTTGTGAACAACCAAGAGTTTTATATGTAAAATTTCCGGACAGGTTATTTTCATAAGGATTTTTGAGTGAATAGTATTTAATAAACTCAACTTTAACCTTTTACTCCATTCCAAGGACAAAGTTGATATTATTTACATTCTATTCATCATTTCAGTTTACTTGGGTAAATGTAGGGATGAAGCAAGTGACATTGGGGATATAATTATTTAGTTAATAGTTTATTATATCTTTTTAAGCCATCCTCCACTTCAAACCTCTCTCCGCTTCAGTTGTCAAGGTGGTTTCTATCATTTTCATCAATTCTTACTATTTAAAAATTATCACTAGCATCATTTTAATAATTATTTTGATGACTGTCCTCAACAGAGACAACTATACCTCCTTTTCTATTACTGGCTACTCTAAATTGACCTTTTCACCATTTTTAACATACCCACTAACAGTTGCAAGGAGTCTCACAAGTTATGTCAAAACATTTATTAAATTTCTCATCTCCCTGATATTATTGCAGGAGGGTGATTGATCCAATGAAAGCTGAGTATTCCATAGGTAAACCTAAAGTGATCAGTGGAGGTGTTAATATTATTATTTACATTTGTTTCACTTTATCTATCAGGTCATCCCATAAGTTCTGTCCGAATTTTAACTTTTTGTTAAAGTGAACAAACTTTAAAGAGTATTTTATAATGTCTAATGGAGCTGAACATTATTTTTATGTTTAGATGCATTTAAACTGATAAAATTTTATTTCAGAGAACAATAAAATTAAATTTTGTTTGATTAAAACCTTGCTAACATGGAAATACCCAAGAATCATTTGAGGTACATAATGCTTTATGAGTTCAAGAAAGGAAACTCAGCAGCTGAAGTGGCTAGAAACATTCACTCAGTTTATGGAGAGGAATGTGTGAATGAAAGAACTTGCAGAAGATGGTTTGCAAAATTCAGAGGTGGAGATTTCACCCTTGAAGATGAAGATCGAACCGGACGTCCAGTTGAGTTTGATGAAAAGCTTCTTGAAGCAGCCCTTGAAGAAAATCCTGCTTTATCAGTTGAGGAATTGGCAGTGGTTCTCAGTTCAAACCATACAACTGTTCATCGTCATCTTCAACAACTTGGAATAGTTCCTAAACTTGGAAAATGGGTGCCTCATGAATTGTCTGAAAAAAACTCAAATCTCGAGTTGACATCTGCTGTTCTCTCCATTCTCGCCAACTTGTTTCACCCTTTTTTGGATAGACTTGTGACTGGCGACGAAAAATGGATCTTTTATCGAAATGTTAAGCATCGTAGACAGTGGCTTGGTAAAGGGGAAAGACGCCAGCCACAGCCAAGAAGGGAACTTCATGGGCAAAAGGTTCTTCTTTCAATCTGGTGGGATCGCCAAGGAATAATCCACTTTGAATTCTTACCACCTAATGCAACAATTAATGCTCATATATACTGTCAGCAATTAGAGCATTTGAACCAAGCTTTGAGGAAAAAAAGACCTGCTTTAAAGAGGTGATGTTTCATCAGGACAATGCACGACCCCACACAGCAAGAATCACATCACAAAAGATCGAAGAACTTGGTTGGGAGAAAATTCCTCATCCACCTTATTCTCCCGATCTTGCTACTTCAGACTACCATTTGTTTCGTAGCTTACAGAATCATTTGGAAGAAACAGCTTTTGTAACACAGGAAGAGGTTAAAACTGACATTTGTGAGTTCTTGAATCAAAGCCAAAAAAAGAATTTTACAGTAATGGAATTAGTAAGCTTGTTAATAGATGGAAGGAAGTCATAGATAATCAGGGAAAATACATTGTTGATTGAATCTGTAATTAAATGTAACATTTGGTCACTTGTTTTCTTTATTCAAAATTCGGACAGAACTTAATGGGATGACCTGATACTTTTACACACTTTAGACATTTCTTCATTTCTAAAGCTATTGTCCACACTCAATTTGATAAACTCACAGCTTATGGAAGCATTTCTCTTGTAACAATTTCCACCTGGCAATTCATTTTATTTGACCCATTTTCCCATATCAACAAACTTAACATAAAATCAATAAAGTGGGCTTCTCACAAAGCAAGCTCCAAGTGCATTCATCTCAGACTTCATTGAGTGTCAATTACATGAATCTAATTGCTGCCATGTTAAGGCTATTTTCTAACTACAACCTAGCTATCACTTTCTCAATCCCATCTAACTTAGAATAAAAAAAAAATATACTGTCTATATAAGCCATAACAAACTACTCAAGTTTACTCAACACAATGAACATCAACTGCTGAAAAACTCCAGTTGCACCAGCCAAACCTACAAGGCATCACTTAGACCTAATACAACCTTGTATGTAAATGTTGTTTTCTATCTGTCTACCTTATCCATAATTACTTGTCAATATCTAGATCAAATATGGAGAAACAAGTTGCCTTTCTCAGCAGTGCTAATATATCATCAATTAGCAGTAAGGAGTAAGCTAGAGGTTTAGTGATATTCTTAAAGCCCTAAAATCTACACAAAATCTATGCCCCTATACTTCTTTCCAACAGCTACAATAGATAAACACCAGCTGAATTGATATTTTTCTACAATTCCAATCTCAATAATATCCTGAATCACTTCTTTCTCTTCTTCATTAATTTCCACTATTATTTTCCTGTATGGGTTTTTATTATTGCATTTTATCCAAATTGTTACTAGCCAATAATTTTACTGTTTTATTGGTGGTAATTTGGAATATGATAGATAATTTCCCCAAATCATCTTCTTTATACATTGCCCTTTTCTTTCCACTGATATATATATGTGTGTGTGTGAAGAAGTGTGTCCAACTTTCTGCTATACTCAACATTATGGGGAAGCAATTGGATATCACCATATGTTTTTTCTTTTTTTTAGTACTCATGAGGATTTCCTCAATTCCAACAGGTGTAATTAACTAATTTGGACCTTGCTTTTATTAAACTAATTGCTCCTTCAAAATCATACTTCTTTCAAATATCAAATGCATGTAAAATCATTATAATGCTTTACAATATGATAAGTGACCCTAATATACAAGAAATCTTAATTTTGTCACCATTCATGACAAATCTGAAAGCTTTGCTTCCTTCTCACTCCCAAACATTCGACAGCATTGACATTTAGCATTGACACAGTGGCACCCATATTGATTAATGTCCTCACTTTATACCCTTTCACTATTGCTTCACATGTCAACTCTTTTCCTTGGGTATAGATATCATATAATCTTCAGTCTACTTCTTTCTCTGGGTAGAGGCTAACTCTCTTGCCCTCTCTTTATCAATTGCAGCTTGTATGCCTGTTACTATAATTGCAGTGAATGATTTACTTCCCTTTTCTATACTGTGATGCTTGATTTTTCCATACAGCTCACAACTCATCCTGGGTATGACAATAAACTACATCCAGAAGCAAGGCCACTTTTTGGGAGGTTTGAGGAGTGTGGAATGGCCTCTTAATTGCTGTTATTCCTGGGTCCACTCTGGCCCAGGGTGGTAGCACCTATTAGGGTCCCAGCTATGGGTAAATAGCTTTTGCCCTCCCTCGAACTGGAGAATGATTACCGAAAAATAAGAATGGGGCTTTTGTAACAATTATAATGTCAGCAATACCAATTGCAGTATTTAAAAACCACA